ATATATATATATATATATATATATATATATATATATATAAACCTGATTTTTTTTAAAAAAGAAAAGGTTTGACCATTTTTGGAAGAAAAAAACTCATGATAGAGTATATACTAAACATAGAGAGAGAGAGAGTACAAAAGTACAAAAGGTCAGATTTTAATTTCAGTTTAGCTTTTCAACTCACATCATTAAACTGATTATATATTTGAAATATTTTGAATAGAGTTCTTCAGATTACTGGACCACACTGTATTTACAGAAAACTAGTTTAGCTTTGGTTCATTTATGCTTTTTCAATATGTAATGACCAGTTTTTGGAGCTTGAGATCATGTAATCCTGAGTCTTTCCATCCACTGGATGGCAGTGTTGATTCTTGAGCGATGGTGGCAGCCCTCAATGAGTCATCTGGCTCTGAGAAATAGTCTGGCACAATCAGTTCTCTCTCTCAGTGGACCAAGAAGAGCTTTCATATGCTGTCGCCATCTCCAAACTCCATATGATTACATGTAGAAAAATCCCAAGAGTGATTCAATGCAATACAAGCCAGAACATCTGCATAGAAACTTTATTAAAGGGGTCATATGATGCTTTTTTAAAGATCAGTATTTTGTGTATTTGGTGTAACAGAATATGTTGACATGCTTTAATGTTCAAAAAACATTATTTTTCAAATACTGTACATTATTGTAGGTCCTCTATGCCCCGCCTCTCTCAAACGCTTCGTTTTCTACAAAGTCCCTCCTTCCGACAAGCGCAGTCTGCTCTGATTGGCCAGCTGACCCAGTGCATTGTGATTGGCCGAACACCACAAGCACTCGTCGGAAATGCCACTGCCGTTTTTTATATTTAAATTATTTGCCACTGATGATTCAAACTCGAGTTTTGAGCAGTGTAGAGTAGCGCTTGTTGTTTGTTGTTTCTCTGATCACAAATGCAGACATGGTTTTATGTTTACGTAGCGCGATACGCAACGCGTAAAAAGACAGTATAAGTCATTATAATCAGTAATTAATTCCCCACTGGATGCAACAAATGCCTCGTTTGTAATGGGTTTTAATGTTTTTGTCTCGTCGCTCCGGCCGGGACATGGCATCACAATATGGTGAGGGGTGTAACATTTCCATCACACGCTTGAGGTATTCGGCCAATCACAACGCACTGGCTAGCTGACCAATCAGAGCACACCTCGTATTTTCAGAACGATGAGCTTTGTAAAAATCGACGAGTTTCAGAAAGGCGGGGAATAGAGGAGAAACAATAATGTACAGTATGTGGAAAATAATGTGTTTTTAACCTTAAACCATATAAACACATTGCATTACACCAAATACACAAAATAATGTTCTTTTTAGCAACATCATATGACCCCTTTAACCACTTGATACTACCTCCAAAACGTAAGATGAAAATTGTGGTTGGGTCACATTAATTTCATATGTTTATTCACAGCTGACAAACTACATAAAATACAACAGCAGAAGTATATATTTTCAAAGAAATGGTCATGTCAGGAACTCTTGATATGTTCAGGAATGATCACAAGAACTGCTACGAGAGGAGACACAGACCTGTGCTACAGACAGACTGACAGCACTCAACACTGTACTCTCACGGCACAGATGAACACTTATCTTATGCAACTCTGATGGGATTGGAGTGCTATCATCAGAACAAAGATCTCGTTGCTTTATTTGATATCCTCTACAGTTTACACTACTCGTATATAGCTAAGAATGTAACAAAATGGAAAGCAAGTGCTAGTCACTATGACTGATGACGGGGATGCAGATGTCAGTCCAGGCTTGTGTGGTCCTCATAATGTCTGCTGTCATCTAACGGGAGTCCAAGGATTCTAGTTATTGTTGAGGACCCACCATGATGCTGTGGAAATAAATTTATAAACATTTTTTATTATATATTTTTAATAAATTAATAATGTAAATTAAATAATATTAAAAATACTGTATTTTATTTTTAGAGAGGCTTTGTACTGTGGTTCACCTGGAACCAGCATAGTTGTCATAATCTCTGGCGTCTCTAAGAAATCCACATTGCCTCTCTGGAAGGTTTTGCTGTAATTGGTCTGCAGATGACTATAAATAGAAAACAAATAGGCTTTTTATCCAGTATTGCAATTCCTTGATTGCAATAAGGAATCTTTAGGACTGTATCAAAATTGAAGCTTGTGAGAAGTGGTTTGAATCAGTGAAAATGTGGGAGAGACTTACTTCTTCCACACGTTGCTTTGCTCCCAGAACTCATACAGTATGAAGCGGGATTCATTGGCAAGCCTCTGAACTGCAACACTGGCGAGAGAGCAGAGTCAGCGTAGGATTACTATCAAACGTGTTTGCTTAAACTGATTCTTTAGAGTTTCAAATACCTCTGATGGAAGCATTTAGACACTGGATGAAAGGAATGTTTTAACTAAAAGTTATTTATATTTGACCT